CATATTGACCTAGAAGCCTCAAATAAATGGCTTACACTTGGATCTCTGTTTCCAGAAACAGAAGGGTTCATGATTGCCATTCAGGACCAGGTAATCAACACTAAAAATTATAGAAAATATATAATTAAAGACAGTAGTATACAAAACGACACTTGCAGAAAATGCCACCGACAAGCTGAAACCATACAGCACATAACAAGCGCCTGTCCAATTTTAGCACCAACAGATTACACACATCGACATAATCAAGTAACACACATTATACACCAGAAACTCGCCATAATGCACAAACTTATACCAGACAAAACTACACCTTACTACCAATACAATCCGATGTCTGTACTTGAGAGCACTAGATACAAATTATATTACGATAGAGCCATATTAACAGACAAAACCAGCCATAACAATAGACCGGACATAACATTAATTGATAAACAGGATAAAATAGTATTTCTTATCGACATTGCAGTGCCCAATACCCATAACATTCACAAAACCATTACTGAAAAAATAAATAAATACACAGAGTTAAAGGAAGAAATTCTTAGAATTTGGAAAATGAACAAAGCATACATTTTGCCACTAGTGCTATCCAGTACAGGCGTAATTCCCAAACATCTACTTCAATCTTTAAAAATTTTAGATATATCTGAAAACACCTACATAACCATGCAAAAAGCAGTAATCCTAAACACATGCCGAATTGTACGCAAATGTTTACAGGAAGACTTGAATAATCCACCCGAAACATAAGATGAAGCTCACTTGGCTTAGGCCCGTGATCTTGATCATACCGAAATATCTTAAATATTTCGAGATATACAACATGTATAAACATAATAATAATAATAATATAAACCCAACCAGACGAGAAAACAAATGAATATCCCCCCAATAATAATAATTTTAAATATTTCAGGTCATATTTACACAACGTTATCTAGTCCCAAACTAAGCAAAGCATATTCTATGTATACGTACTAGATAGCTGATAAACACACTTAAACGTACCTTTATTGTTAATAAATGAATACTATAGATATAAAAACACCCATACACTATAAAAGCACAAGGTTCATCACACAATATTTTTACAGTGGTGGGGATCGAACCCACACCATCGGGCGCGAGGGACAGGTTCATTATCCACTACGCCAATCAGGTCGTCAATGACAAATTAATTTTTAACTGACATCTCCCCTATGAGAGCCGCGATAGCTCAGTGTCCGGGCGCTCGTCTCTAATTCAATATACTCGAGCAACCTGAGTTCGATCCCTGGTGCTGGCACCAATGAAGTTTTTAACTTTAAGTGTTGACTTATCACGTGCTCTGCGGTGAAGGAAAACATCGTGAGGAAACCTGCATATTTTCGAAATAATAACAATAAAAAATATTTCGAAGATATGTGAAGTCCGCCAATCCGCAGTGGGGCCACGTAGTGGACTATGCCCTGATACCCTCTGTATAGAAGAGGCCTTTGCCCAACAGTGGGACATGTTTAGGCTGTTACCTTTTCTTACTTTTATTTCCCCTCTAACGACGAGGCAATATATAACTAGCGACCCGCCCCAGCTTCGCACAGGTGCAATGTGTTATACTCTATCTAGTAAAAACTGCATCAAGATCTGTTCATGTCTGATCTGATCTGTGATCTGCAGAATCTAATCTAGTTTAGATTTTCATAGTTCAGTGAAATTGGAGTAAACTGAACTGTGGCTTCAAGACTTTAATATTATTAATTTATAACACCACTAGCGACCCGCCCTGGCTTTGCATGAGTGCAATGTGTTATTAAATATAAACCTTTCTCTTAAATCTCTCTATGTAGTAAAAAAACCGCATCTAGATCCGTCGCGTATTTTTAAAGATCTAAGCATTCATAGGGACAGACAGACAGCAGAACGACTTTGTTTTATTCTACGTAGTGATGATTTTATCAAACAAACTTTACTATATTGATTGATACTCGTATTGTTTCCATTGTTCTTTCATAAATGCTATTGTTAGTTCAGTGCAAAATAACAAATAACAGACAATGTTTTAATTGCTCGCTAACCCGCTAATAACAAAGCAAGCTCGATGCAAAATATCCCCTTTTTGCGCTTATACAGTTCATTGCTGGCACAATAACGGATCGATCGAAATTTAATCCGTCGTGCACCGTACTGCGAGAGCGATGAAACGTGCCTTTAGAACAGACGATTTCACTAAAGACAAGCTTAAATCTACCTATGGATGACAAGCCTTCTTCTGTATTTTTACCATAAAAGTTAGACCGAATAAAATTATCTGCTGTTGTAGGGCCTTAAAAATCCCTTAAAAATGGAATAAAAATCGATACTGAGTGAGATATTTGAAGTCGGGTTTGTTTTAAGGGTTCCAAAGGGTAAAATGGGGCCCTAATGATTAATAAATATTTTAGGACACATTTTTACTCAACGTTCTCTAGTCCCAAACTAAGCAACGCTTGAACCGTGGGTACTAGATAACTGATAGACATACTTTTATTTTGTAAATAAATACATATTATACACATTTACACACCCAGATACTATAAAAACACTATGTTCATCACATAATATTTTCCCTATAACTAAGACAGCGGTCTGTCTGTCTGTCCTAATGTCACCAGGTTGTATCACATGAACCGTGATAGTTAGTTGAAATTTAATTTCACAGATGATTAGTATTTCATGGCAGCTTTAACAACAAATACTAAAAAATTGAATAAAAATATTTAAGTGGGGCTCCCATACAACAGAATATATATATATAATCGGAATCTCGGAAACGGCTCCAGCGATTTTCATGAAATTTAGTATATGTCGGGGGCGAAAAATAGATCTAGCTAGGTTTCATTTTCTAAAAATGTCCTTTTATTCCTGTTTTCAGGGAATGAAAAATATCATTCGAATATCACAGTAAATTTCGCCGCAAAACGAAATGTTATAATAGCTCGGTCGGTAATCGGGCGGCCCCAAAACAGACGGCCGCGGTTCGTATCACGCTCATTTACACACTTATTTTTTTTTTACTTTTTTTTCTATACCAGATCATTTTTTTATTTTTTATTTTTTTATTTCGAAAATAAATGATTTACCAAAAAAAAACCGAATAAAGCTCCTCCAGGTATCATTAAACGCGATCGTCGAGAATTTGAATATCGCATCACGTCAGTTGTAAATGCTTCTGCTATAATTGCATTATAATCTTAACAGGCGAGTTCGAGGCGGAATTCATAAAACTATTGGATTTATTGTGGTGAACAATAAACAATCGATATTTAACTCAACTAATTTTTCTAGTTATTTGCTTTGCCTTGTTAGAATATAAACGGTATTATAATCTAAACTAGTTTAGATTTTTATAGTTCAGTGATAATGGAGTAACTGAACTGGGGCTTAAAGACTTTAATAATATTAATTTATAACACCACTAGCGACCCGCCCCGGCTTGGCATGGGTGCAATGTGTTATTAAATATAAACCTTCCTCTTGAATCTCTCTATGTAGTAAAAAAAAAAACGCATCTAGATCCGTCGCGTATTTTTAAAGATCTAAGCATTCATAGGGACAGACAGACAGCGGGACGACTTTGTTTTGTACTATGTAGTGATGAGAAACGCTAGGAATAGGTAATTTAAAAGAGTATCAACACAACTTTTCTATGTAGCCCTATAATGTAGTACTCTTTCCTATTATCCGGCGTGAAGTGGGAGTGTTATATTTCTGCGTTTCGCCTGGTGAGTGATGTAGCCGGGGCCCACTTTATTAAAAGGTGGCAACGCATCTGCAACCCTACGTGTGTTGCAAATGTCAATGGGAGGCGCTTATGAACAGTCAGCTCCCCGGCTTTTCACATAAAAAAGATGTAATTTAGTATAGATGGTTCGATATAACTACCGTGATTATCTCTTAACATCAGGTGAACCGCCAGCTCGTTTGTTACTTTTTCACATTAAAAAAAACGTAATAACTAATCCCATTAATATGAATTAAACCAACTCAACTTGGATTAATTACGAACTTACATTTTTACAGGACTTCTCGAAGGAAAAAGGCAATAAAGTGCGTTGAGGCGGGAAACTCAATTTGTCTTAACTTTCCAGTCTTCGCGGTCCCCCATATTTCATTTAATAATTGCTTTTGCATGAATTGCGCACTAGACGGCTGCTTACGTAATCGGATTTGCATTGGTTTTAATAGTATATATATATATATATATATATATATATAATAACTTTTAAATGACCAATTCTTGTAAAGTCAAGGTTATAATAGCTCAGGTGAGAAATCGATGTCCCGAAACCAAAAGACCCTTGTTCATGTGTCTGCGCTGCCAAAAAAACGGGAAAAAAAATCTCTGTGACTTTTTTAAGGTTCCTTATTTTCTGAGAAAGAAAATATCATCGAGGTACTTGCCAATTATGCTTCAAAAATAACAATGTTATATATAATTAAATAACAACAAATCAAATATTTGCAAACCGAATTGAGGTAGAATAGAATACATTGTTCAGTTTATTTTTATTTTAACTATATACTACTGTTAACAACAAATTTTATACTGTATTCTGGCAAATAAATGATTTCTATTCTATTCCATTCTCTCCATTCGCCGCTTTCTATTGTTATCGAATGAATTTAACTGCATAAGCTATGTTTTGTGTTGTGTTTTAGTTATTATAGTTGTCGAGGGGAAGAATGCTTGCTTAGATTCGGTGTATATATTTTTAAAGGTTATGTCTTTAAATATTTTTGTCCATTTTTACGGAGCAAACATAAACTGACTAAAATCACAGTAACGCGGGTGGCGAATTTAACTGGTAATAGAATATATAATCAAACAATGTCCAATTACTCAGATTTCGGTTTGATTTTGAATTAATATGTGCTGTTGTAAGCCAATATCATTTTGAAACTTTTATTTGATATAAGATTATACATATAAATCAATAATTTTTCATAGAATTCCGGATAAAATTTCATAGAATTTACGGTGGTAGGGCCACGCAGCTGCCTCGGCTGTTGCACGAGTGGGCAGGCTCGTCCGGGTAAGTACCACGACTTTTGGCGTCCATATTACGACTTAGGCGCATTCGTACGTAGAAAGTGGTCATAGCGGCAACGGCCACTTGGATCAAAGTGATGGTGCACGCGTGTGCAGGTCTGGCCGGGGCAGCACCATTACCTGTGGCGGCGTGAAGTGCAAGCGTCCTCTGCGTTGCAATTTATTGAGAGGTGCATGGGCGGAGGTTATCACTTGGCAACAGGTGAGCCGCCTCGTTTGCCATCTCTATCCATAAAAAACCGGCAAGTGCCAGTCGCATAGACTTACCATTATCTATTAAAACGGCAAAGCAATCATGTCTGTTGTATGGGAGCCCCTCTTAAATATTTTTATTTTATATTTTAGTATTGTTATTATATATTTCAGTATTAGTATATATATCACGGTTCGTGACAGACAGACAGCGAAGTCTTAGTAATAGGGTCCCGTTTTTCCCTTTGGATGTGCAATCCTAAAAAAGAACAGTTATTTTTACACGAAAACTCTTCATCATTAATACGACGTTGCAGCTGAAAGTTCTCGCTTGTCGTGCTCTTGAGGCGCGTCCGGAATAATGAAGAGCGAATGCCGTGTCATCGCTTTATTGCATTCTGACCCCACTCGCCTCTGACTCCACGAGAGCAATAAACCCGACCGGGAGAAGAAGTGCAATCTAATAACAGCCTAACGAATTCAGCGGCGTGCACGATCCTCAACGAGTTATTGTTGACTTAGATGCGATATTGTTCCGAAATGGCGAACAGTCAATCTTCGATGCCGGATCGTTAAATTTCAGGAGAGTTATACCATCGTCGATGAGAGATGAGGCTGTGGTCCGATTGCTGGGCTATTGGCGTCGGCGCCGGGTTGTGGGTTCAATTCCTCAAAGGACAAGTATTTTTAAGTATGAACCACGGGTATTTAAAAAAAACACTTACAATAGGATAACATTATCCTGTGTTGTAAGGACATTTTACAAACATAAATTTCATGTGGGCAAACACCTAGATCCGGAACGATTATCTGTGGGTCAATCAATACCTTGGCAAGTTATCAAATGGGTGCCTTTTAATAAAGTAGGCCCCGGTTACCTCACTCATCAGACTGGTCACTTCTTAACAGATTAATGACTACATCCAACGCGTTACATAATTCTAGTGTTAATGAGTCCCCTAAAAAAACTGATGAACTTATAAATGTTGTGAGAACCAGTAATAACGCGCTTGATATTGATATTTTTTCAAACAAATATTTTAAATTTAAAAAATATGTACGTGAAGCCCTTAATTGATTAACTTTTTATGTTTGTTTATGTTTATTTTTTCTTCTTTTGATCTTTTTTTAAATTCTTGATTACTTTTTTGGATTTACTTTTTTTTTGTTAACATTGACGCTGCAAATTTCATTGTACTCACTATTCGCTGAGTTTTTATCTTTTATTTAGTGTTTTTTTTCGCACAAATAGTTTTAAGTTCTTGTGTTGTTAAATTTAAAGCATAGTGGTTTGCACCTATTTTTGAGATGGCACTCACCAAGCCTGTTGTTAATAACATTACCTATAAATTGTCTCAATTTAGTGTTCATCTTGTTGGTGTGACAAAAATAAATAAATAAACAGACGATCAATGGACACATTTGGTACACCCGCTATCGGATAAGGGCGGTCGATCAACCACTTTAGTGTATCCGTTAAGAGTGGCAACAGGAAGTGCTCGTAAAGACTGCTCCTGATAAAATAACTAAAATTCAGTTTATATACTGCTAGAAATAGAAACGATAATTGATTTTAAAAAGGAATTACTGGCTAGCAGGCCAAACTACATAGAGTTTAAATATCTGCATAATAGTTATTAATTGGTGTAGAGCTTTCACACGCTACGACCGCTGACGTGAAAGTGTACGAACACGGTTAGCGCTGCTCGTTTTATATCCCGTTGCAGTGTTGCTATTCGATGCTTCGATTTATTTACAACAATACTATATTAAACTTATTAGACTATCATCCGAAATTACGTCATTATCTATTTACCACTAACAGAATGTATAGTGGGAGAACTGATCACATTTCTTTAAGTTCATCGCAGAGTTTCAAGGCAAGAGTGAAAAGGCTTTGACTGAGCTAGCGCGCTCACTATCAACGCCTGCATCGTCACTTACCATCAGGTGGGATGGCAGTCAAGTGCTGGCCAGTTAGGAATTAAAAAAAATAGATTAATACATTGGGCCACATAAGGAAATGACGTTAGGCCTCGTACTTGACTGAACGATGTGAGAGGAAGGACATCAAGCGGCAGAGACTACATTATATCAACAATTTTTTTATCATTATTTCGTAGTGACTCCAACCGATTTGTGGTATGCCTGAATCACTGTGAGCCTAAATCTTAGGTCACCGACTTTGAATGTGGATAAATGTTTTTTTATGCACGTTAGAAATTAAACTTCCTGTTAAACTCAAGTAATCCGTTCGTAACTGATTACTTATCGTTATTTCTGATTATCCTAAGCGTTAGTTGAAGCGACTTCGGCGCGCGCTCAAAGCCTCCTCAGCTTAGTAAAGGGAGATCCATCAAACGAACTAAGACTGCGACGAAATGAACAGCATAATGGCACGGCACTCTTGTAGTGTGAAAGTTCAAATAACGCATGGCATTTAAGGACGAGGGATGAATTCAATTTCACTGTTTTTGGATAATTTTTATTTTTAGTGCTAGTCTCTGCATACGATATTGTTTGAACTGTGAAGTACGTAATATATAGCAACGTCTTCAATGTCTCAACCGACGATAAGCAACATGTTTAAATGTAATAGAGATTAGTTTCATACGACCAGATATCTTATCTGTGAACACGTTCTGTTTGTTGACAAACGTCGGATGAACGCAATATAGAGTGAAAATGCTTTGATAGGATTTCTCATTACAGGCACTCCGTGCTTCGTTTGTTCACCTTTGACCCAACCTTTGACCTTAATTCGGTGCGATCGCAAAGGACAAATACTGTTAGGAACACGAAAAAACTGATTAATAAGGTTGGTTGTGTACTTACAGAGTGAACCTACTAAAGTCTATGGACACTGACTTTTCTATTACCCCCGAATTTTTCATTAGAAATTAAACATTACTTAAATATCTTATTCTATTTTGTAGAAGCAAGATACTTATAACATTACTCGATAAATTAGGTTTCCAATATTTTTTAACATTTAATAGCTTATTCTTATGACATAAAGTTACACGTGTCCCCTTGACTATGCCTGATCCCAATACATAACGTTTTCCTTGTTTACATGGCAAATAATCATGAATAAAAAAACCGGCCAATTGCGAGTCAGACTCGCAATTGGCCGAAGGGTTCCGTACCATTATCTATAATAACGGCAAAAAATCATGTGTTGTATAGGAGCCCCATTTAAATATTTTTTATTCTGTTTTTAGTATTTGTTGCTTGTTGTAACAGAAATATGTCATCTGTGAAAATTTCAGATGTCGAACTATCATGGTTCATGAAACACAGATACAGCATATACATTTCAGTGGTAGGGCCACGCAGCAGCTTCGGCTGTTGCACGAATGGGCACGCTCGTCCGGGTAGGTAACACGACCTCACAGAAGACCGGCGTAAAGTGGAAGTATAATACTTTGCGTTTCGTCTGGTGAGTGAGGTGACCGAAGCCCAATTTTCAAAAAGGTTGTCAACGAATCTATAAACCCTCGGCTGTAGCAGACGTCCATGGGCGGCGGTATTCACTTAACATCAGATGAACCGTCTGTTCGCGTGGCAACTTTTGACATAAAAAAAAGGCTGGTGACAAACGGACAGACAGATAGACAGCCAGACATACAGACATATAGACATACAGACATATAGACAGACAGACATATAGACAGACAGCAGAGTGTTAGTAGCAGGGTTCCATTTTACCCTCTGTGTACGGAACCGCAAAAACTTTCTTACTTTATCGTTTTAACAGCAAGCAATCTTCATACCGAAGTATATGAATTGTTGAAGTTTACACTCTATTAATTTGTGTAACTTTATTTTATCTGAGATACGCATTACGCAAAGTTTATATAGTAATTTATTAAAATCTCGACTTAATGGCGTTCAATATACCATTCGTCATCCGTCGCTTGAGAGTCGAGGATTTAAATTCACGTTACATAACTCGTCGTCGCCCTTCAGGGATAGTAATGGGAAGAGCATAACAAATTGCTTCTGCGGCTTGGCTTGGGGCAAGAGATGAGGCGATTTGCGTACTTAGCAGATTTTGAGGTTTTGCCATCACTAGATGAGGCGATTTGCGTACAGGCCAACAGAGTGTGAGGTTTTGCCATCAGTAGATGAGGCGATTTGCGTACCCCCGTGGTAGGGCCCCGCAGCAGTCTCGGCTGTTGCACGAATGGGCAGGCCCGTCCGGGTAAGTACCACGATCTCACAGAAGACCAGCGTAAAGTGGAAGTATAATACTTTCATGTAACTATAATGGGGTTGAGTAGTGGACCCTATAGCCTAACACAGTGCACTGTACAGCAGTGACATAATATATAGGCTATAACTTTACTTTTTTTGTTAATGAGTGCCTAAACATAATTCTTTCCAATGCGAAATAAAATCTTGTTTATAATTTTACAATAATATTTAAGTTCGTAATTTTTTTAACTCCAATATTGATCCCATGTGTAAATCAAAAGTTTAAATTTCTTTTTATAAATAAAAATAAAAAATAAATAATAAAAAAGCATTTATATTTCTTTCAAAAAAATTATACATTAGAACAAAAAAAAATCTTATAATCTACTACGCTAAATCTACTTAATGATTTTTTTATAATATTATTTTAATTTTTTTTTGAATATTACTTTTTTTTATGTTTATTTGCAAGAAGCCCTCCTCGGGTGAAGGCCTCCTCCAAAGAAAGCCAATGATCTCGATTTTGGGCCACTTGTATCCAGTTAGGTCCGGCTGTCCTGATGATGTCATCCTGCCATCTTGCATAGGGTCGTCCTCTGCATCTCTTCCCTTTTGGACCGTTCCACGACGTGATTTTGTTGGTCCATCTTTCGTCTTGCAGTCTCGCTACATGGCCCGCCCATTTCCATTTTAGCTTTAGGGAATAGTTTAGTGCGTCGGTGGCTTTTGAAATACTTCGTATTTTTGTGTGTCTTATCTTTTGTCTTTTATTAATGTTCAGCATGCTACGCTCCATGCCACGCTGGCAGCTGGTAATTTTGTTCCTTACCTTGTACCCATATTTCCGGGTCTGGCATGCATAAGTTAGGCATGGCAGG